GTAAGTTTTGAAGAGTGAATTTCTTAGGAAACACTTTATAATGATGTTAGTAAGGTTTAGAAACACTTGTTCAAGTCTAATTAAGTTTATAATACAATCTAGGAAGATTTGAAGTTGGAGAAAATAAGTGGAATTGGTAAATTTGGTGTAGGTTGCGTAATTATGCAAATTTGGTACTGCAAATTATGCAGACTCGCTGAGCGAGTAGAGTCGCTCAGCGAGTGGTCGGGGAGGTTGGCTCACTATTTGATGATTCGCATAGCGAGAAGGTGCGTTGAGCGAATGGTTGAGGTCTGGGAACACTATGAGTTTTATACAATCAGTGAATGGAGGCGCTCGACGAGAGAGTTGGGTGTTTGGGATACTGTTTGGACTTTCGCATAGCGAGTTGGAACGGTAACTGAGAGGTTGGGGTCTGATAGCACTGGTAGTTTAATTCGCACAGCGAGTTGGGTCGCTGAGCGAGTGTTTACAGAGGTTGGCTTACTGTAAGTGGATTCGCACAGCGAGTTGGGTCGCTCAGCGAGTAAAGTTGGTAGTCGCTCAGCGAATGCTTGCACCGAGTGATTGTCCCAGGTTATCATGCATTCTTTTCTTCTTTGTTCTTTATTGTTTGGAATAATGAAATTGATTTATGTGTGTGGATAATGTATGATTATATATGAGTATTAAAGTAAGGTTTAGGGTTTCAAATGGTGCGAAAGAGAATTCCAAGGAGGGATTCTCAGTGGTAATTGTCAAGTTGTAAGTATGAATATGGGAAGCTCAGTCTTGGAGTTCATCCTGACATTCTAATGGTCACCTATTTTCAAGTAGAGAGGGGTGAGACATGTCGTGAGAATAACAGGAGGTCCTAGCCTATGAGCTTTTCCTTGGCCTAAGGTGAATGATAACGGACTAACCTTGTGTGGTAGCTTGGGGTGGGCCAGTTGTTTCACCACAACAAGTGCACGAACTGACATAGCTACATATTCATATTAATCCGGATGGTCAAGTCAAGAGCTGGTTAAATGTAAAGTTAATTGGGTTTGATATGTTTTTGTTCACTTACTTGAAAGTTTAATTTTATGCATATATCATTATTTGTTTTCTTCTAGCTTACCCTTCTATATGTGTTTGTGTTGTATGTTTTCTTTGTGTTCTATATTTGCTATGATCATCCTTATCGATTCTCTTCTTGGGAGCGAGGAAAGATGAGGTGACATTGGAGCATGCTATTGGAAGAAGGTGATTTCTAGCACGTGTAAATAGTTTTGGATTAAAACTTTTTGGTATATTAAAGTTTAAAATTTCTGTTTAATTTTGAAGGACGGTAAAAGGCACTTTATGATCTGTTTTTGACTTCACCTCCTTTCTCTCCGATAGTATTATTGATAACCTCTTTGATGTATCATATGTTAATATTTTTGGTAGGTTCAATAATAAAGTCAACTTGTATACTTTCTCACAAAATTTATAGCCTATATGAAGAATCATCTCTTTGGAAATTATGTCAAAACCTTAAGTTTGAATTTAAAGATTTACATTAAATAATTGCACCGAATGAAATAGTTGACCTCTCGTAAAAATATTATATATCTCATGGCTTTTTCTCACTCTCCTGTTTACATCTAGTATTTCTGCTCCGTTTTTGTGTGTATGGCGTAAAATATGCATGTCTCTCGTTCTCCTTACTGTCTTTGATTAAGTTGCATTCCTACACCTTTCACATTCTTTAATATCTCAAAATGAGCTTAAAAAGATGAATTTACTACTTCAAATCTACAAGTCTTGGACATTACATGTTATTCTTAATAGAATCATTGACTTCATAAATGAAAAATTATAGTTCAAAACAATAACCATTTTGAATGTCTTTTGCTATATTATTTCTGTTTTCTAGAATTCTTTCATTACTATTCTCCAAAACGATTACACATCATTATAGGTTTTGGAGGTTTTTTTGGTAACTATGAAACGTGACCCCTTCAACGGAGAAAAAACTAGAGTTCCAATTTTAACCTCGTCATTAACCTCGTCATTCGTCAATGTTTTTGTTATATTGTTTCATACTAAAACTTTTAATTATAAAAACTAAGAGCTGAGATTTCATCCCACTGTCACAAAATTGGGAAAGATCCTATTCCACTCTTTAATTCTTATTTGAGAAAAACGGCTATCCCATGAAATTTATTAGTCCTGGAGTTTACGTTTTTAACATAATCATTATTAGTAATTTGTGGTTTTAAAGTTTGCTTCTATCCATAATCTATAATGTGAATGTTGTTTCTATATTATTATTATATTGCTTTGTCAGATTTATGATAAACCACTAGTACAAAATGGGATTTTAACTCGCACAATAGATCTCGGGTTTACAAACCAAACCGCTGTCTATTCAACACGGTGGCATTTTTGTAATTAACCGAGACTTATAGGCCTCGGTTCAGACTTTTACCCGTGCCAAAAGGGTTTACCACTTTCGGTTGAAAAGCAACCGGTGCTAATGAGTGATTTCTTGACACAGTTTTCTGAAGGGCGGTTAAGAGCAACCCAGGTAAAAGAAGTATACTGCAAGGCACCGGTTGATAAGTCAGAACCGAGGCGGATCAAACACAACATCACCTTCTACTAACCTACTGCCTCGGCAAGAAGACCGAGGCATATAACCCACAGATATTTTCACTCTCGTTCTCGCCTCCCCCTCGCGCCTCCCTTCCCTCACTCTCCCCTCCATCACTCTGGCGCTCCCTCCCCTCACTCTCCCCTCCATCATCTCGCGCCTCCCTTCCCTCCGCTCCCCTCCCTCACTCTTTTTGCGCCTCCCTCCCTCACTCTCTTCTCGCTCCTCCCTCCCCTCCTCTCCCCTCCATCCCTCTCTCGCGCCTCCCTCCCCTCACTCTCCCCTCCCTCGCTCTCCCTCTCCTTCGCCTCCTCCCTCCCCTCTCTCACGCTTTCTTCTTCCACGCAAAGGAATCCACGGTGCCCGCCATCCTCCCCCGCAGTTTTTTTTTTTTTTTTTTTTTTTTTTTTTTTTTTTCTTTTTTTTTTTTTTTTTTGTTTTTTTTTTTTTTTTTTTTTTTTTTTTTTGTTTTTTCTTCTCGTCGCCCCTCTGCTGCAGCTCGGTCCTCCTTCCGCGTGCTCGCCCCTTCCTCCGCGTGCTCTCCCCTCCGCCGCGTGCTCGCTCCTTCAGCCGCGTGCTCGTCCCTCTTCAACGTTTTGTTTCTGTGGTATGTGCAATTTAGGGTTTTTTCTGCAGGTTTTCCTCTAATTTGGGGATTTTTCATCTAATTCGCGTTAGGGTTTCCATCTAATTTTGGGGATTTTTTCTGCAGGTTTCATGGCCGAAGTATGAGGAGTTGTTGGAGTGAAGGAACTCACGATTTGGCTCAGGGGTGATGGTGGGTTTGGTGGTTGGGTATGATTGATGAAGGCATTGCGTGAGGAGGATGGAGATTGCTGGTGTGAGGTGTTTTGTGCAGGTCCCTGTCAATTTTTTTATGATGGACGAAGAAGATGGTGGTTCGCAAATTGGGTGGCTGGGGTGATTCTCGCGAAGGACGAAGGTGTCTACGGTGGTGTTTTTTGGGGTGGTCTATGTGAGAAAGACTGGTGGTGGTCGGCGGGGGAAACCTTGGCAGTGTAGAAAGATGGATGGTGGTCGGCGGGGGAAACAGCGTGAGAAAGTCGGATGGTGCTTGGCAGCGTGAGAAAGTCGGATGGTGGTCGGCGAGGGAAACCAGGAAGACCATACTACCTCGGTTCTCCTTGAACCGAGTTGTAATCCTGTCAAACAATACTACCTCGGTTTTTCTCTTGACCGGTTGTAGTCCTGTATCGTTTTTGTCTCGGTTCTAACCCGAGGCATAAAATCGTAGCCTTTTTACCTCGTCTACATACTCTCGGGTCAAAACCGGTGCTATAGCTAAAATAAACGGTGCCATTGTCTTTCACTGTACTAGTGGAACCCCTAACTACTTTCTCCAAATCATAAACTATTTGATTCCTTAATAGACACATGTGTTACCAATCAATTTTGTTAGAGACTTATGCTCAATTCCATTGGATATGAACCACAATCCTCAAAGAAAGTTATACAAAGAAAAAATCAGTGATTTAGAAGTTGTGTCAAAGAAAAATTGGGTCCAATTTGCAAAATTATCTCATGATAAAATAAGCTTGAAACCGTCGTTTGAATTTCAATATACATAAGAAAACCCAGAATCCAATCTGCAAGGATTAGTATAGACCATATTGCAAGTGTTGGCTTACAAATCAAGATCCAATTTCCAAATGTCTTTCTTTTTGTACAAACTCACTTTTCATGATCTAGAATAGTTACCAGGTTGCTGGAATCAAGATAGACCTATCTACCCATAAGATGGGAAAATAACATATTAACAAGCACCTTAAATCTTGAAATAAAACATGATGACTCGCCTCACCTCTGATTCAAATGTGAAAACAACTCTTTTGTTCTGTAAACTTCGTTCTACATAGGTTGTCCAGGTAGCCTATAGTTTCCAATACCATGACAATGCGTGACTTGCATTGTTTGAGAGTATCAACAACTTAATTCTTCATAGAACTCCACTTATAAACTGGAGTCAACTACACTACAATCTCTAGGAAACAAAAATGAGGATTCTACCCGCTTGGGACATTCTCTTCAAGGCCACCACACGTCAAAGGTATTGAGCTTGTATTCTTTCTCTGTTGTCTTCCCACCATTTCTTTGCATGCCCCTCTCCAAATCTTCCCGCTGCAGATAGAGTGATAAACTTCAAAATCATCAAAACCATATATGTGTGTGTGTATGTTTGTGTATTTATGTATATATAAAATTTTGATTTTTTTATGAAATTTGGCAACATGTCAACATGCAGGCAATGGGACCATGTCATCATTTCACTTCACCAACTAAGTACATGTTCCTCGGATTATGTTTTTGGGGAAGAACATGTCATTTTTATTGAGGAGGAACCACTAGAAACTAGGAAACTGCTGACATGCATGATGATATAATATTACCTGAATCTGACACGACGAAGCTCCTTGGTTCCATCAGCTAGTTGCCTGATCGTGATGTACACTCCAGGTTCATCTTGCTCAATCCATTCTGCCTCCAGGTCACTAGCATTGCTCATTGAAGGCTCGTCTCTAGAAGAAGTGGTTGTCCTAGATGCTTCCACAGATGATCCTGCTGGGAAGTTTGGACCACCACCTTGAATCCATAGCTTCAGATTGGTTATTCAATGAGGGTTTTATAGTGATTCCTTTGTTGTCCATTCCTTCAACGACATCGACCCCGGGCTTTCTTGTCCAGATGTCAGTCTTGAGTAAGAAGAATCTCTTTGCGGTTCAAAGGCAACATGTATAATCACAAATCTTTAACTCATATGGTATTTCTCTTATGCCAATGCCTTTTCATGATAGTGATTGACTTAGAGGCAAGTGTTGTTGTTGCAGTCTTTTCAAAATAACAAGGTCGATGAAATGAACTGCTTGTAAACAAATCATACTGGTTAGAAGTTGTAGATTACCTCATCCTCAGATCTGGAAGGAGTGTTAAGAGCTTGTCGATTGAATCTCTGGACATTGTAAAGCTCCATGATTCTGTCATAATTCTCACCCCACCATTTTTGAGCTTGCCACTTGTCAAAAATCTCTCGGCTTCAAATTTAAATGGTGAGTGCTTTCAGTCTTCACTCATAGTAGATAATTAACTTTTGCAACAACTAAAATTTTTCATATACTTTGTATGATATTAACTATTAAGGCCTCGAACATACATTTTCTATCACAAATTAGAACATGCAACTAAATCTATTGATTCCCATTTTCAATTCAATTCTATCTCTACAAATGGAATCTATGTCAAGGGAAGTGGCAACAGTGCAGAGTTAGTCCAACAATTAATAACAGTTTAGTTTGAACGGGTTCATTATTTAATGGTCTGAATAAAGAATCAAAGGTCTAACTTTATTAAAACAAGTAATAATATTCTCTGTATAATAATAAGTCCTCATAATAGGTACATATTCTTTCACAACTTTCAATTCAAATCTATCTCAACAAAAATGGAATCGTGTCAAGGGCAGTGGCAACAATGCAGGGTTAGGCCAACAATTAATAACTAATTTAGTTTGAGTGGGTTTATTATTTAATGCTCTGAATAAAGAATCATATATCTAAAATTAGTAAAACAATTCAGTATTAAGGCTTGTGATTTCTTAATATACCTGAAGCGAATTCTTTTGAGATCATTTCCACCATTAGGAAGAGACACAAAGGTAATGTGAACACCTGGTTCCACCTGTGCCATCCACTCCTTGGTTTCATCCTCTTCCTCAACAACAACATCACATGCTGGTGCTGACTCAGGGCCTCTAGAGGTCCTATCACCATTCAAGCCACCCATAAATCTTTGGTCTGATCTACCACCAGGGATATAGGAGCTTGTGAAGTCCCAAGCAGGGGTTGAAGTTGAGCTTGCTCCTCCAATATAGGGGTATGGAACCCCTTCTGAAATGGTGTCAAAGTCAGGATATGGCCTCTGTCCTTTCTTGTAGGCACTGGACCCTGTGCAAGGTCTGCACTGCTTGTAAGAACCTGAAAACTTCAGTACCATATCCTTTAACTGCGAATGCAGAAAAGGAAAAAAAGAATCAGATTAACATCAATGCATTAAAAATTACGATTCAATTACGTACCAAAGATATCTATTTTCTGAGAAACATACAAAATTGATGACAAGTGACATTTGATAAACAGATAAGTACTTCTTGGACGAAAAACTAAGAAAGATAATCACATGCCTATCTAGCTGCAGATGAGCACTCCCAAATGGCGAGAGAAGTTACTTTCAATTGAGCAATTATTTTAAGATTGATTATAAAATGTTTTACCATAACACGCTACCAAAAGATAAATTTAGACGTGAAACGTGCCATCAGAATACTGTTACATAAAAGCGCATTAAAATTATTTCAAGACGAATATAACTGTATCGTATATTTTTCAAAAGTTGCATTATACATACATGTACTTGGTCAACACTACACCTTCATGTAAACCTACTTTTACAGATCATGCCACTTTATCAGAATATCTCAAACTTTTAGAAAAATTGAGATTCTTGAATAGTGACACATTCTGCATCTATGGATTTGACCAATGACACTTAAATTGGGAAGCATCTGATGAGGATGCGTTTAAAAAATATTTTTAGTGCTTAAGAATGTGTTAATGCTTTCAAAACACCTGAGTGCTGTACTTTCCCCTACAGCTAACAATGTAGATCCCTCTTTAACATATTCCCTTTTATAAAAACCAATATAAATTGTATCATCCGGTGATACAGTTGATGATTTAATATTATAATACAGAACCCACTTTCTCAACTTGCCAGAAGAAGAAATACAATTCAAGTTTCCCACTCTCAACCTTTTAGTTTAGTGATATTGGACCACCCCTTCCCCACATCCACCGAGATTTCAACAGAGCATGGCAGCAGAAGTGTTTGTCAAAGGGCTTACAGGGGAAGAGTAGGGAACTTAGGTTGGGATGTTCAGAAAGAAACAGAAAACTAAAAAATATTTTGGATGAAACTAGATGAAGTCTAAGGTTTCAGATTGTGTCATTTTCGAAGCATCGTGCAATAGCTTTACAGCTGGTATGGTGGAGAATGTACTTGGGTATAGGATACAAGTGGATGACAACAACAGCAGTGAACATGAAAGTCCATTATAGGAACCTTATTTATATCCTACTATCACCTATGTACCCCCAATGGAAAGCATTTCCTGTTTGCACAAATCTCCAACAATATCTATCCAAATATTACTTGTCAACATTTTCACACAAATCAGAAACATATGGTTCAAAATGGGCTTCAGAACATGCCTCAAATACAAGTCTCTAATAAGATATTTCAACCAAAGTTCCCCATCTTTTTAAAAAAGGTTAGTGTGATATTAAGCATGAAGATGAGGGTAACTAGTATGCAAATATACAGGAGAAAAAGAATTGATATGTGCACTCATAGCAAATAGTAACAGTAACCTACTTTCACTCACATGTAACCGTTCTCTTCCTAGTGAGTGTTCATTAACCAATAATTGCCATTACAACACCTTAACAACATCATAATGACTCATCAATCCACAATGACCGTTATACGGCTACTAAGCCTAACTATTGAATAGACTTGAAGGAGGAAATGAAAAACCACTGACCCAAAGACATTGGTTTTCTACTTCTGGAGGACCTACTACCAATATTCTATTGAGAACCTTAAGAAATGCAAACATATTTTTCTGACAAAAACACTCCGAAAATGATATATTTTCTCCCATAATAAGTATCTATACATGCTGCATATGGACATAATAGAAAACTTTTGGGACGACAAGAATTCAAGGATGGGCCACATTCCAAGATACGAATATAGCATTCCCTTCTGTGCTAGGCATCTTTTGTGAACATTATTACCTAAACCGCGGAATGTGGAACATGTTGCCACATTGCCACTGCTGCTCTTCACGTCCCAAATCAAAGAAGATTTTTATTTTCACAGCACATTAGCTTTTACTTGTTTAAAAAATGCAACTTAAGGTAGTTGTAAGTCAATGATAAGTGAATAATAACAAAGTACTAACTCTAGGCTATACCAGCACCAGTCAAAATGATAATTAAAACCCGGCACGTTATATGGTAAAATTCTACTGCGCGCTCTAGCTATACATTGGAAACATAATGCTGTCACTATTATAAAGTCTGATTGAAACAAACCAACTTGCTCCTCTAATGTGGTATTATAAGTAGCCAAAAAGGGTACTGGTAACCTACTTGGCAAGTTGGTTCCGTAATTTCTAACTCTAGAGAGAATAATAAGCACTGGAACCGACTTGACTGGTTGAAAATGCTATATATGGTCACGTCACGGCACCACCACATGCATGAAAATAAAACCAATTAATGGAGCAAACCGTGGAAGGAAGTGGACCATCCGTCAACAGCAAAAGTGCCCAAAACGCACCACACTTGCGTCATCCTAAACCAAAACAATCCTCACCTATGATGCATATATAATATAAATATCTCAAGAATGTGTGAATGTGTATGTAGGCCGTATAGAGGTATACGTGGAGGTAAAAGATTCAAAAGGGGTGGTCCCCACCGTAGTATGAGGACCCCAATATTGGTTTGATTTTGTTGGTTTTCACTAAGATGGGAAAAGAAGCTAAGCTGCAAAAGAAAAGTTTGTAGGTGTGAAGAGTGAGATGGGACTAAGAACCTGCGCACTCAGACTTTTGACAACTTCTTTTGTACTCGACGTGCCACTCTCACAACCTTCTTCCCCTTCCTCCGCCGTTTGCTTCGTACACGCTATGCATGTAAACATTTCCACCACTTCTCACTGATCCTCACTTTTTTTTGTGTTTCTCCTGCACACCAACAGCAAAGAAACAAAGCATTTATGAGCAAAAAGTGCCGAAAGTTTAAAACCATATCAGTTAATACGCACGCCGTTGGTTTTGAACGGAGAAAGAAACACATAAAAGAGCAATGAATAAAAAATGAAAAACGAAAACGGTTCGGGATAAAGTCGAGAGATGAGAATATATAGGTGGAGGGAATCACTTTCATTGAATAAAACAGTGACAGGGAATGACCATTTTTGGTAAGTAAAAGCAATGGTTAGAGATAAAGAAGGCACCGAAATAAAGAAGAACCAGAAGAAGCAACCGAGTTAGAATGCAACTAATGAAATAATAAGAATAACAATAAAAGAATTGAAAAGAAAACTGGTCAAGTAACAATATATCCTTCACGAGGAACAAAATGGTCCTTAGCTAAAAATACAAAAGGGTAAAGCAAAGCAATCTTGAGAGCACAAGGCTCGGGATCAGAGCAAGAGCAAAAGCTATAGGCACCCCAAAACCGAAAAGAAGGAATAATTGAAAGCAGAAAGAAACAAAACGGAGGCAACTGCGAATAAATGCAAAGAAAGACTGAAGGGTCATTGATCATCCTCGTTAGAAGAATGATCAAGAATAATTCCACAATGCCACATACTTACTTACTGCTGCAAGCAGCGATAGAAGGTAATAAGTAATAATAATGTGGGTTGGTGCTTTATCGTACAGAAATCGAAAATAAAAGAAGCAAAGCGTGTCGAAGCCGAAGTTTTCTGACACGTCCCTCACGCACCCGTCTACTCTTGTGATTCTCTTCCTCTTCTCTCTTTATCTTTTGTGTAAATCGCAATCAATCCCCGTTCTCCGAGATAACACTCCAAAACCAAAAAGCTAAGCACCACCGAGTCCGAGACCGAGTCCGAGTCCGACTCCACTCACCAGCTCTAGAGAGAGAAACAACTACCCTTCAGAGTACTGCAATTATTATTACTCGTTACAAAGAAAACAATAATACAAACAACAAAAAAAAGGTTATTGTCACACACTAAACAAGAAACAACATGGGTTGAACGTGAAAAATTGTTTGTCGGAGGATGAAATGTGTGTGAATGCAGGCAAAGAGACATGAGAAGAAGATGAATAAGCAGAAGAAGAGAATTGTTGTATTGTAAAAGTGATGTCATTGGTATAAATAGCTATTCGAAAACGACTTACCAAGGGAACCTCAACTGCTTCTTCTTGTGCTTTGTCTCTCTGTACACACTCTCTCACACACACTAAGGAATCTTCTATGATCTTGTTCTAAGCTTCAGGTTTCGGTCCTCTTTATACTCGCTCCTTCTCTTTCCCTCGCTCATCGATGGACAGTTCGTCTGCACCACAAGCACACGCTTTTGTTTCGCTTTCGGAGGCGCACCCCACCCCCACCACCACGAAAACCGTGCTTGCTACGTTGTCGTTTTCCGCATGGCCATGAAAATGATGAAATCGGTCCACATGCCAAATTGCTTGGGATCCCAAACCTAATTGTCGAGTTCCATGTCAATGCAACAAAACAACAAAGATTGCGCTACGCACAGCTCACACATGCTCTGTCAGTTACAATGAAGCACTACAATGTCATACAAAACACTGACACACGATATTTGGAGATAAGACGAGAACTCCACGGAGAGAAATTGCAATGCCGAGCTGGGAAGTTCAACAGAGGAACACAGAGGGTGTGGGTGTGAAGGAGTTACGGGGCCAACTGAGACGAGAATTTCGGGGGTGGCGATATTTTGAAGAGAGGAAGACAGTGTTTGAGGTGTCGTATTTTATATTTTGAGCGGCTGTGAGTGAGACGGCATCATGTTTGGGTGCGTTAATTTTTTTGAACAGCAAATGATTTTGAAAGGAGAGCAAGACCACTGTGGACCTACAGTCTGGTCCAGTTGATCAATGGTCTAACCCGTGGAACCTTTTTTGTTAGATACGACGCTACGGTGGCGTCTTTGAGTTGGCTTTGATCAATGTTGACTTTTAGTTTGTTCTCCTTACCTCCTTCCTTGCTACTCCCCATCAGCCTTCCCTAGTTGTGATGGCGTGCTCAACCGTCTACATCTTCGCTTTTGTTCGCGCGGTTTTCTCCGCCTCAGGAGATTGGGGTTTGACAGGTTTCAAAATTTTGGAACTTTCCCATCCAGCTTGTACGTTTAAATGTAGATTTTATTATCATTTATTTTTCATATCTAAATTAGCTTTTTTAAATTATTTGTTTTTTTACTAACGTCTAATTTATGATTTTTTTAAATGAAACGAGAACATTTTTGTTCGTCATGCTACTCCATTAAATATTTTCATGCATTTTCATATAAAGAAAAAAGAAATGGGAAATTTTTAAGTTAATAATTAAAAGTTATAGAGGTTAAATAAATCATATACTAATTAAAAGGTAAAATTCGTCACGTATGTAGAATTGAATATTCGTATCAGTCTTATTTTGAAGTGGTGGAAACATTCTAAAACTAACTTAATTAAACATATACCTACAATAATTATTAATGTGAGAGTTCAATAAATGAAAACTTAACCAATATAGGTTGTTAATTTTCTGATAAAGTAAAGAATAACTTGCATTTTTCGAAAAGAGAATGAAGAGAGAAAGAATAACGTTTCCTTCAATGTCAAGTGTACGTTTGAGCTTTATAAGGGTTGCATGTGCAACAATTTTTTGCCATGATAAACAAACTAGTGGTGTACTTCAAACCCTAGCTACATCACTAGAGATTATTCTAAACTTGATTATTTTTTGTGATCATCGATCCTTTTCATGAAAAGTTCATCATTGTCTTCATCAATGCCTCAAGTTTCTTTCACAAAATACCACATGCATGAACTCTATTCGATATATGAATAGATAATCTATTATTCTAGATTTTTCAGGTTCTATCGTAACAACATATTAATTTAATCCATGGATCATACTTTTAATAAGTTTGATAGGACAAATTAAATCAAAACTAATCATAATAGATTCTTATGCAAATCATCACTTTACAAGCAAGGTTACATATATAACACTAGGCAAATGTTATTTTTAAGTCATTTAATAATAAAGAATATGTTAAAAAATTATTTTAATTTTTCATTTTATGTCATGCAAATAATTAAAAATGAAATTTGTGAATTCGGAAAGTATTTCTTTTTATCGATAAAATAATTAAAAACATTTTTTCTTTTGTGTCTGAATACAAATAAGATCTTAATGAAACTATTTCCAATGAAGTTATGGCAACTAGCTAAACTTAGTTAATAATGTTAGACTCGTCCACGTATTTTGACTATTTTTACTTCCCCCTTTATAATAGTACAAACAAGACTACATTTTTGAAAGTAAATAAAACCATCAACATCAAA